TGTCATGCAATGCCCATGGAGGACAGAAGAGACTGTCAGATCCCCTGGAACCAGAGTTATGGACAGTTAGCTGCCATGTGGGTGCTGGGATTTGAACCCGGGTCTTCTGCAAGAACAGCCAGTGTTCTTAACCGCTGAGCCATCTCTCCAGCCCCCTATTTACAAAAAAAAAAAACCTTTTTTGTCTTTTTATGAGACAGGGTTACCTTGTAGCCCCAGCTGTCCTGGAACTCACTATGTAGACCAGGCTGGCCTTGAATGCACAAAGATCCACCTGCCTCTGCCTCTGCCTCCCAAGTGCTGGGATTAAAGGTGTGCACCACCACGCCTGGCTTTACAAAATATGTTTAAAGGCTCTCAGATAAAACTAGGCAAGTTCACTAAGTTGCACAGTTGGCTGAAGCGCAATACTCATCATCTTTAAATTTTACAAAGCAAAGCAGCTTCCAGGTAACTAAATACACACAAGTTCCTAGGGGGTGGCATGCCAGAAAGGGTATGAAAGCTCTGTGTTCCTTTCACATAGCTTTCCCTAACACAACTCTCCTCTGTATCCTCTAGAGTTCTTTGTTAAACTAGTACACTACACATGCTGAAAAGACCATGGATCCCTTAAGCCGTCATTATGACAATGGTCAGACGCTCAAGAAACAAGTAGAAAAAGGCAACTTATAATGGGCACAGTGTATTTCTACCCACATTCTACTGACAAATCACCCATGTCCAAAGTCAATGGGTGTTGCTGAGCATGGTGTCACATGCCTTTAACAGCACTCAAGAGGCAGGGGCGAGTGGATCTCTGTGAGTTCAAGGCCAGCCAGGTTGACAGTAAGTTCCAGGTCAGATGGGACTACAGGGAGACCCTGTCTCAAAAAACTAAAAACACAGAAAAAAAAAACCAAAGTCAATGAGTCATGAAAGTACACTATCTACAATGAAGCCACTCACTCAAATGATGGAGAATTATAAATGACACTACCACCACTTTTTAAGGACAGAAGTCAAGCGTTTTTTTGATAGGGTCTCCTTGTAGCCTTAGCTGGCCTGGAACTTGCTATGTAGACCAGGCTGGCCTTGATCTCAGATTTGCCTGCCTCTGCTCTCACCAACCTGCAGAAGTGTTTTTGTTTTTTAAAAAATATTTTATGTGCTCGCTTCAGCAGCACATTACTAAAATTGGAACAATACAGAGAAGATTAGCATGGCCCCTGCGCAAGGATGACATGCAAATTTGTGAAGCATTCCATATTTTATAAAAATCTTGCACAAAGACATTAAAAATTTTTTTATGAGTGTACTGCCTGCATGTAAGTGCACCTGTGTTGTGCAATGCCCAAGAAGTCAGAAGAAGGTGTTAGATTCCCCTGGAACTGGAGTTATAGACGGTTATTAGCTGCCATGTGTGCACTGGGAATTGAACCTGGGTCCCCTCCAAGAGCAGCTGGTGCTCTTAACCACTGTACCATCTCTCCAGCCCTGGAGCCAATGTTTTTTTTGACTTTTTGTTTTTATTTGATCTTTTTTTGAGACAGGGTCTCCCTGTAGCCCCAGCTAACCTGGAACTCACTATGTTTAGGCTGGCCTTGAACTCAGAGATCTGCCTGCCTCTGCCTCCCGAGTACTGGGATTAAAGGTGTGTGCCACCATACCCAGTGAATCAATGTTTTTTTTTTTTTAAATGTTTTATTTATTAATTTTAGTTTAGTTTATGTGTATGAGTGTATTGGCTGCATGTAGAGGGTGACAGATCCCCTGGAACTGGAGTTATGGATGGTTATTAGCCACCATGTGGGTGCTGGGACTTGGACCTGGAACCTCTGGAAAAACAGCATGTGTTCTTAACTGCTGAGCCATCTCTCCAGCCCGAGTCAATTTTTTTTTTTTTTTAAGAAGCATTTCATTACAGCTTTAACATAATAACAATTTCCAGAGCAAAGATACATCTCTTTCAAAAGTGGCTATAAAATTTTTAGGTTCCGTTGAATTAATAGTTATACAATATTGAACTCATTGTAAAACCCTGTAAGACATGTCAATGTTGAGTTTTTAACCTATTTATTTATTTATTTTTGGTCTTTTTGAGACAGGGTCTCCCTGTAGCCCCAGCTATGTAGACCAGGCTGCCCTTGAACTCACAGAGATCTGCCTGCCTCTGCCTCCTGAGTGCTGGGACTAAAGGCGTGCACCACCACGCCCGACCTGAGTCAATGTTTTTTAAACAAAAATTTTAAGCATTGTTTTTTTTTGACAGGGTTTCATCATGTAGCTCAGGTTAGCCTCAAACTTTTGAAATATGTGTACATGTATTTATTTGCATGTGTGTTGTGTGCATATATGTGTATGAGTACATGTGCATATGTTTGCCTTTGAGCACGGAGGTCCAAGGTTCACAGGTGTCTTCCTTGATGTGGGGTTGCTGCTAAACCCAGAGCTCACTGATTTTTAGGCTAATATGGATAGACAGTTTGCCAGTCTCCTGTGCTATGATCACAAGGAAAATACTAAACAGGTTCTGGGAATCAGAACTCTGGTTCTCACACTTGCATTGCAATCTATTGCCCACTGAGCCACCCCCCAAGTCTTGTTCCTCCTGTTTCCAAGTTCCCAGTGCTGAGATTATAGGAGTGTACCACCATTCCTGGCTACTTATGCAGTTTAAAGTTTCTAATACTAGCTACTAAATAGATGAAGGCAGCCATGGCCATAGTGATTGATCCAGTTAAATACAAAGGGTCCAATATAGTCAATAAAACTTATTTTTAAATAAGAGTCACTAAACTGAGCAAGAGGCCTAATGTTCCAGTCATGAAGAACTGCTTAAGTTCAAGCCTCATCAAAATGTAATCAAGTGAGGTTGCAAACACCTGTGATACCAGTGTGAGGGAGACTGAGGCAGGACTATTGGGAGTTCAAGGCCAGATGGGCTACTCGGTGACACCTGTCTCAAAAACAAAACAGAACCCATGTAAAAATTAGAAATTATGTCGGGCGTGGTGGTGCACACCTTTAATCCCAGCACTCGGGAGGCAGAAGCTGGCGATCCCTGTGAGTTCCAGGCTGGCCTGGTCCACATAGTGAGTTCCAAGACAGCTGGGGCTACAGGGACACTCTGTCTCAAAAAAGAATCCCTCCTCAAAAAAATTAGAAATTACAGTACATGAAAGTGTTTTTAAAAGTTTATAGTTTGGGCTGGAGAGATGGCTCAACAGTTGAGAACACTGTTCTTGCAGAAGACCCAGGTTCGAATCCCAGTATCCACATAGCAGCTAACAACTGTCCATAACTCCAGTTCCAGGGGATCCAAAAGCCTCTTCTGTCCTCTGATGGCATTGCACAACACGGGTATACTCACACATAAAATAAAAATAAAAATATTTTTTTTAAAGTTGATAGTTTTAAGATTCTTCATGTGCTGGATGTGGTGGCGGTGGCACATGTTCTAAATCCCAGCTGTCCAGAAGCTAAGGCAGAAAGAACATGAGGTATGAGGCCAACTTGGTCTCCATACTGAATTTAAGCATAGCCTGGATTACACAAACCCTCTCTCGATTTCAAAACAAAACAGAAATCTTCCTTGTATTGTACCTTAAGGTCACCATCAACTTCTGTAAAGTTTGGTTATGTGAACTAATAAAAAATAAATTCTAGCTCTGAGTACCCCTGCGCCAACCATTTCTGTTTAACTGCTTAAATCAGCATCCTTTTACAAGGCCAGAATACTGCCTAGCCCTAGTCCAGTAGATGTCTAGTCAATGAATAATGAATGATATAAGACATATCTGGAGGTCACATTTCAGAAAACCAACAAGAAAAAAAAAGATTACCACAGCCGGGCATGGTGCCCCACTTCTTTAATCCTAGCACTTGGGAGGCAGAGGCAGGCACATCTTTATGAGATCAAGGCCAGCCTGGTCTACATCAAGTTCCAGGCCAGCTGGGGCTACAGCAAGACCCAATCTCAAAAAGACAAAAAAGAAATTACCACACTGCCACAAGTGATATTACAAAAGCCACACAGCAAACTCATTTATACTTGTATTGATGGTTTTGCTCAATGAGGTTCTTTTTGAGACAGGGTCTCCCTGTTGTCCTAGCTGCCCTGGAACTCACTATATAGCTTAGGCTAGGCTGGCCTTGAATTCACAGAGATTCTCTGGCCTCTGCTTCCCAAGTGTTGAGACTCAATTTTTTAGAGACAGTTTCAAAAGTTGTTTCCCAGGTTCTATATAAAGATTAGTTACAGGCCGGGAATAGTGGCACATGCCTTCTGAGATCAAGGCCAAAGGCCAGACTGGTCTACACAGTGAGTTCAGATCAACTGAGGCTACAAGGAGACCCTGTCTTAAAAAGACCAAAACAAACAAAAAAAGGAGCATCAAGTAGATGCTGGAGATGAATATTTACAAAGATATGATATACAAATTCTAAAACAATCTACAGCCAAATCAAAACTATAGTGAGGATGAGGAGTTAAAGATATTGCCTGAGGTTCTCCAGTACACGGTGAATGGAGGAAAGATTTGTTGAGATTTTATAATTTGTCTATACACACAATTTCAACAATCTGGACATAATTTTTAAAATAAGGGGCATTTGCTGATAAAATTTGTGTAATGGCCCAGTATTCAAAAGTATTTTCTGCCGGGCATGGTGGCGCATGCCTTTAATCCCAGCACTTGGGAGGCAGAGGCAGGTGGATCTTTGTGAGTTCGAGGCCAGCCTGTCTACACAGTGAGTTCCAGGACAGCTGGGGAGACCCTGTCTCAAAAAGACAAAAAAAAAAAGTATTTTCTGATTACTTGAACTTTACCATCTGATTATCTGCAGGCTACTGACAAGGTAGTCAGGAGCACAGGGAATTCTTGCCTCCAGGTAATAATCAAATGAGTTACCACAGGCTAGGACCCTCCGCTCCTGTTTCTCCATCTTGAGCGCTACAACAAAATACTCAATTTTGTCCCATCTTTGCATCACGGTAGCTGTCAGCCCTACAGCGAATCCTGCCATAAAAACGTAAATAATTTCCTGGGACCATTCCTGCAAGGTTATTATCCTAACAAAACGATTCCCATAATCGCCCTGTTATCTTTACAGGACATTTTAAAGCATGTGCGTTGCAGTTACACAGTTCCTACCCACTCTAGGAATCACATAGTCGCTGTTAAAGGGGTCCAAGTCCCAGACCCCGGTCTCCCCCATGGAGGCTCTGATTTAGTCTCACAGACCGGGCGCTCGGAGCTGGAGCAGGAGACCTCAGCGGCTAGGACCGCTGGACCGAGCGTGTCCTTCCACAGCGATGGCGGCAGACACGGCTCGCAGCCCGCCGAGCGCAGCTGGCGTCACGGCTCGCAGCCGCGCTCTCCCGCCCATGTGCCCCGGCTGGCGACCCGACCGCCCGGCTCCCCGACAGCGCGGCGGGCCTAGGGGGCCTCGTCGGTCCGCAAGCCTGAGGGCAGACCCCGCGGCCGCTTCGCAGCCCCCAACCGCCTCACCCGCACTTGCCCGACCGGCCGCGCTGCCCTCCAGGCCCGTCAGACTCTTCCCGGTCACAACATACCGGATCCGGATCCAGATCCGGCTGCAGCGCCAGCCCCACCTCCTGCACCGCCCGCGCGACACCTGGGAACCGCGGCCCAGACGTGGCAGCACCAACGCCTCGACCCGCCCTCACGCAGGGCCGCACACGCGGAGGCCGAGACGCCACGCGCTGGACTCCAAGACTCCAAGGACTCTTCAGGAGAGAAGGGCGGAGCTCCGTGGGACGGGCGGGGCGCGGTGTGAGGTTCCGTGGGGCAGGGCGGGGCTGCGGAGCGCGACTCGGTGGTGCTAACAGAGCTCTGGTGCGGAGGCGGGGTTCCAGGCGGGGGCGGTGGAGCTGCATGGGGCAGGGCGGGGCTCTGGGCATAGGGAGGAGCTCCTAGGCGAGGGGCGGGGCTATGTGGCGTTAACGTGGCTCTGGTGCGGGAGGCGGGTCCAAGGGGCGGGGTGACGCAATGGGCGGGGCTTGAGCGGGTGGGCGCAAGGTGTCACCAGAAGTTTGCCTTGCAGGCGTGCCTCTTGCCTGTGCCTCTTAGTGCTACTGTCACGGTTTGCCTGAAAAGAAATCGCCTTAGGAGTCGGCTGGGCTGCGTAACTGGTGACCAGGGTGCCCCCCTTGGAGTCTCCGAGCCCCAAGGCTCCGCCCTCACAAGTCCCTTGCGACCCCTTTTCCTCACCACCCAGTCCATTAATCAGGACTTGAATTACTCACTGGGCGTTCACAGCTTCTCGTTCCCAAACGTCAGAGACAAGCTCCTGTCTTCTTGAAACAGAGTTGGGGCCACCATCAGGACTTATTTCCCTCAGAGCTTTTAGGGTGAAAATGGTGAGCTAGAACAGTGGCTTTCCACTGCAGCACTTTTGCCTCCCAGGAGACCTTGGTAAAGTCTGGAGCATTTTCACCTCGCATTCGGGGAAGAAGTAGTACTGGAATCTCCAGACTGTTGAGGGCAGAGATTGTTAGACGCCAGGACTCTGCTAACCATCTTACAACGCGCAGGCCAGGGCCCCAGCAACAAAGTCCTTGGCCTGAAGTGCCAGTACTGTCAGGAGGCTGGTTGAGGAATCCTGGTTGGAAGAGGAAAGATGACACTTGGCTGAGCTCCCACCCCCAAAGTGTCTTACCTAAACAGCATTAGACCCCTTTTGACAAGTTAAGCAGAGTTTGGGAGACCTTAAGTATTTTACACAGTCACATAGTATTATTAAAAGTACAAGGTACTCTATTCTTAAGACAGTATTTACGGGGCCAGAGAGATGGCTCAGTGGTTAAGAGCATTGGCTGCTCTTGCAGAAGACCCAGATTCAGTTCCCAAAAGCCACGTGGTGGCTCACAACCGCCCATAACTCCAGTTCCAGGGATCCTATGCCCTCGTCTGGTCTCTGTGGGCACTGCATGGCGTGAATGCACTTACACCCATGCAGCAAAACACTCACACACATAAAATAATGTTTTTTTCAAGTGTTCAAAGAGCACCACAGATTATCAACTACATATTGTATTTCCTCTCATTCCGAGATTTAAATTTATGTCAATTTTTTGAGACATGATCTTGTTTTGTAGCCCAGTCTGTCCTCAAACTCATCATACTCCTGCCTCAATGATTTGAGTGCTGGGAAACAGGCATGCCCCCACTACTAATGGCTTTAGGTTAACTACTAATTCATGCATTCTTAGACCCTCAGGCATCAATAAGGCTGATGGCATCCCATTCCTGTATCCATATTTTAACCTTCATATATACAAAAGGATATACTCGGCATCTGGAGAGATGGCTCAGCGGTTAAGAGCACTGACTGCTCTTACAGAAGACCAGGGCTTGATTCCCAGCACGCACACGGCGGCTACGAACCATCCTTAACTCCAGTTCCAGGGGAATCCAAAGCCCTCATCTGACCTCTGCAGCACTGCAGGACTCAGGTGCACTCACATACATGCAGGCAATACACTCATACATATAAGATTCAACAGAAGGGCAAGTAGTGGGGATTAGCTGGGGTGGCAATAACACAGCAGACAGTAGCAGGGATATCAGAGTATAAGGGCTCTAGTCGGGGGAGGGAGGCTATGGGAGAGTGCCAACTGGGAAGTGGGTGTATAAGATGGTTTGGGATGTGGGTGTATAAGA